TCAGCACTGCATTTTCCTAATTGCTAATGATATTGAACATTGTTTCATGTATTTGTTGGCCATTTGTATTTCTTCTTCTTCATATATATTTAGTTGTGGATGGACACAATACCTTTATTTTATTTGTTTTTATGTGGTTCCGGGGATTGAACCCAGTGCCTCATGCATGCTAGGCAACTGCTTTACCACTGAGCCATAATCCCGGCCCCCATTTGTACTTCTTCTTTTGAGAGGTGTCTGTTTAATTCATCGACAACTTAAAAATTTAAAAAAGAAAAAAAAAAAGGGGGCTGGAGTTGTGGCTCAGTGGTTGAGCGCTTGCTTCGCATGCGTGAGGCACTGGGTTCGAACTTCAGCACCACACAAAATAAGTAAGTAAGTAAGTAAATAAATGGATGAATGAGAAAAGATTAAAAAAAGAAAAGAAGGAAAAAACCATACTGTACTTAGGGCAGTGTCGCATGCCTGTAATCCTAGCAACTGGGGAGGCTGAGGCACAGAATTGCAAGTTTAAGTGCAGACTCAGCAACTTAGCAAGACCCTATGCAACTTAGAGAGAACCTGTCTCAAAATAAAAATTAAAAAGGGTTGGGAATTTACCTTAGTAAAGAGTATCCTTGAGTTCAATATCTARTACTAATAAATAAATAAATAGATAGACAGATAGATGGCTTTTGCCATTCCTATCAACAATATGATATGTGAATAAAAACACATGGTGGGCTAGGGTTGTGGCTCAGTGGTAGAGCACTTGCCTAGCAAGTGAGAGGCACTGGGATAGATCCTCAACACAAAATCTAAAGATATTGTGTTAAAAAAAAAACAACAACACATGGAGGTGGTCTATTTTTTTTTGTTTTATGTTTCTAACTTTTAAACTTCATGAGGAAGTTTTATTCTCTTCACACTAAGCACAAAACCTGAAGAGCAAGACAGTTATTAACCATGTTGAYGTGGCCCTTCTTCCCTTTAGAAATACAACAGCAAATGCCAGGGGCAGTGGCACACACCTGTAATTCCTGCGACTTGGGAGGCTGAGGCAGGAGGATCGTGAGTTCAAAGCCAGCCTCAGCAACTTCATGAGGCCCTAAGATACTCTGCAAGACCCTGTCTTTAGTAAAATATAAAAAAAGTGCTAGGGATGGGGCTTAGTGGCTAAGCATCCCTGGGTTCAATCTTTGGTATCAAAAAAAAAAAAGGAAAAAAGAAAAGAAACACAACAGCAAGTCAAACACAGTGGCACACACCTATAATTCCAGCTACTCAGGAGACTAAGGCAGGAGAAGCACACGTTTGAAGTCAACCTGGGCAATATAACAAGAACGCCTCAAAATAAAAGGACTAGGGTTGTAGCTCAGTGGTTGAGTACTTGCATACCATGTACAAGGCTGCAGGATTAAACCCAAGTACTATAAAAAGAAAAAAAATGCAACAGCAAGAGATATGCCACAAAGCTCCTACCTCATGCCAACAAGTAGCTTTGGTTACACCTGTAGCTACAGAGCAGAGTCCTAACAGAGGCTGTGCAGGCCAGCACCTACCCTGAATGTGACAAAAATTTCTCGTTTTCCCACAGGCATCCTCACAGTTTGGCCATCCTCGACTCCTAGAAGAACAAATTTCCAAAGAGAACAGTTATGGTGGAACACCCCATAGCACTTCCCAACCAAGATCCAATGATTAGCCACAGGCTTCCTTGTTCATTCCTGTTTCTTGTTAATGCTGGTCTCAACTAAAGACGGGACAGCAGAGAGAAAATGGTGGGATGGGAGTTGCTCTCCTACCAGGTGGGAACAGAACAAGCACATTTCAAGGATAAGTGATGCAAGGGGAAATAGTCTCGGAGATTCTAGTTCCTTCTCCAGCCTGGAGCCCTAAAGCCCTCCAGCTTCTGGCAATAGTCAAACACACAGGGCACAGTGGCCTTTGYCCTTTCCTGGGCATGGGGGGCCTGGGTACCTACCTGCAGGCACAGGGATCACTACTCGCTTTTTCTGCTTGGCTTGTCCTGCTCCTCTGCAGATCACACAGGGCGTTGTGATGATGGAGCCCCTGCCACCGCATCTCCGACAGGTGGAACGCATCACAAAAGGGCCTGTATTGATGGTTTCCTGACAAAAAGGAGAGGGAAAATCGTATTTTTTGGGGGGGCGGGGGAGATAATGGGGATTGAACTCAGGGTAACTCGACCATTGAACCAAATCCACAGACCTATTTTGCATTTTATTTAGAGACAGGRTGTCACTGAGTTACTTAGTGCCTCACTTTCTGAGGCTGTCTTTGAACTTGTGATCCACCTGTCTCAGCCTCCTAAGCCACTGGGATCACAGGTATGTGCTACCACAACAAAAATGGTACCCTTAAATATGCAAGCAAACTGATGCATGAGAAAAACGTTTGACTAAAGGCTTCTTCTTTGTGTACACATGTGCCCTAAAACACACTATCTAAGAAAACAGACATGGGGGCTCACTGCCAGCCTGATTTTCTAGAACACTGACTTCTGAACTCTTGAATACTGATATGTTGATGTGATCTAAATAATGAGATACTTGCTTCTTTCTATCTGAACCCCTAAAGTTCAGCAACACATTTAAAGATATTATTTCCCCACTAGTTACACTACCTTTGAGCTATATCCCCAGCTCCAGGAACTCTGTAAATATTGAATGTCTGTTAATAGGAATGCTTTCCACATGGTATGGGTTAACAATTCTAAAACTACTTTAGTGCTATAAAACTGAAGATTTTTTTTTTAAAATGAATATTTATAAAAATAAAATAAAATATAGTCCTAAGGAATGAATCCAGGGGCACTCCACCACTGAGCTACAATCCCYAGTTCTTTTTTTTTCTTTGAGACAAAGTCTCACTGAGTTTCTCAAACTTTCATTCCTCTTGCATCAGCCTCCTGAGTTGCTGGGATTAAAGGGCTGCACCACCTTGCCCAACAAGGAAAACATATTGAGGATAATAGCAGCTAGATATCTGTTACAGAAAAAAAGGTGACACTCTCACTTGAACTCTTGGTTTTTGACAGATGTCAATGTATGCATGTGTGTACACATATATCTATACATGTGAACAAATGTATATACGTATCTACAAGTGACACACACATTGATTTCCTAGCTCAGTCGGCTGAGAAAGTTTAGAAGTAGTGTCACTCCAGGGGCCACGAGCATAAGGGGGATACAGACGTTGGTTTTCATGTCCCACTAGACACTAACAGGTACCACAGCTACAGGTAATACCTGACTCAAAGGGTGTAGCAGGGAGAGAACAAGTTCAGCCTGGAATACTCTGCCTTGTGGAAGGTAAGGAAGTGCTGAAAGTATGGTTGGAACATGTCAAAAGGACACAACAGTCAGATGGAAGGGACCTGGCACAGGCCAAGTTAGGGATAAGTTGAACAGCAAAGAAACTGCTGATTATAACACAGTGAATAAAATAAGCATCCCTGACTTCATACTGATATAAACAAACAGGTAAATGGAAGAAAAGAAGTTCTTCCATCCAGTAGAATGCAGACAGGTTAACAGAATTAGAAAACTTGTCATTTAGCAACCATGCTAGTCATGTGTGATTGAGAATGATCAAGGGATGCAAAAACCAATGGGCAAGTTTGATGAGGAATATGATACTTATAGTCTCAGGGTATTTCATCATAACATTTATTAATTTCAAAAGAAAGAATAGTAACTTTAAAGTAAAGAACCTGATAAACACTATTTTAACAAAGTAATCATGAACATGTGTAATGTCATCAGTATGAGACAAACTGACACCTAAAACTACTCATATGATCCACTGAAAAGGATAAATTGCCTCTGTGGGGTTTCTACCCAAAGCAATCTGAATCTTTCTTTTTTTTTTCCTTAATTTTTTTTTTTAGTTGTAGATGGACAGGATACCTTTATTTAATTTATTTATTTTTATGTGGTGCTGAGGATGGAATCCAGTGCCTCACACATGCTAGGCAAGTGCTCTACCACTGAGCCACAACCCCAGCCCCACAATCTGAATCTTATCAAGAATCCAAATCAAAGGACATTCTATTAAACAACTGGCTTATAATCTTCAAAAAAGTTAAGGTCAAAGAAAAAAAGAGCAGACTGAGAAATAGTTCCAGATTAGAGACTAAAGATATGATAGTCAAATGCTACAGACATAAGGACACCTGCAAAAACTTGAAAACATACAGATAATGATATGGTATTAACATGAAGTTASCTGATTGAGAAAACTGTACTATGGTTATTTAAGAGAATGTTTTTGTTAAGAACACACCATACATACTGAAATACTACACTTAAATTAGGAATCAAGAGATATAATGTCTTTCAGCCAGCCCAGTGAGTCAGCACAGGCCAGTAACCCCAGCATCTGAGGTGGCTGAGGCAGAAGGATCACAAACTGAAAGCCAGCCTCAGCAACTTAGTGAGAGCCTAAGCAACTTAGCAAGACCCTGTCTCAAAATAAAAAGGGGCTAGGAATGTGGCTCAGTGGTTAGGCCCCCAGGTTCAATCCCCGGGCCCCTCCCCAGAAGAGAGAGAAAAACACGGCTCACTTTCAAATAGTCTTCGRGTAGGACAGTGACAGAGACACACCCAAAGAATGAAAAGGAACACATCAGAAGTGAAAAAGCAAATGGAACAAAATGTTTAACACAGGTGAGCCAGGCTTGGTGGTGCAGCCCCGTAATCCCAGTGACTCTGGAGGCTTAAGCAGGAGGATCACAAGTTTAAGGTCAGCCTCAGCAACTTAGTGAGGCCCTAAGCAACTTGGTGAGACCCTGTCTCAAAATAAAAAATTAAAAAAGGGCAGGGTACAGCACAGTGTTAGAGTWGTAGAATGCACCTGAGTTCAATCAAACAAAACAAAACAAAACAAAAAAACCAACCAACAAACAAACAGGGTGAATGGGCAAAAGGTGGGAGACCATGGGGTCAGTGTGTGGGGGGGGTCCTCTCAGACATCTTACCATGCCAGAGCCGCCGCAGTAGTGACAATGCTGCACCTTGGTGCCGGGCTCATTCCCTTTTCCATCGCAGCGCTCACAGGTGTCCATGATGTTCACAGTGAACTCCTTGTTGACACCCTTGGCAGCTTGATTGAAGGTTAACTCCATGATGTACTAAAGAAATCGAGGCATGACCTGTTAATGCTCTGCTTCCCAATGACCAAAGTGATGCTCTGCTATAGGAGGACACGAGGCCACTGGTCAGCACTTGTGGTTACACTTTAACTGCTATGCTTACACTTGTATACTGCCAGGTAAGAACAGGTAGGAATCACTCATCAGATCCTTCCCAAGGCCTTAGGATTTTTAAGTATGTCTTAATTTAAGTGAAAATACACTTTTCAACAAACTGAAAATGTTCACAGAAATAATTACGACAGTTTGCATCTCRAATATTCCCCAAAGGCCCTTATGCTAAAGCCTTGGTCTCTAAGCTGGCACTACTGAGAGGTGGTATAACCTTTAAGAGGTATGGAGATTTTAGATTAGMGGGGCATGCCCTCAAAGGAAAGGCAGGCCACAGGTCTCTTCCTCTTTTTTCCCCAGGAAACATGARGTGAACAATTTTGCTCTACCATGCACTYCCTACCATAATATGCTGCCTCACTACAGCCCAATAACAATAGGGCCAACTGTTCATAGGCTGAAAACTTTGAAAACATGAACCAAAACAAACCTTTCCTTTTTTTWAAAATTTATTGTCTCAGGTACTTTGTAACAGTAATGGAGAGCTGACTAACAGCACTTAAAAAAAAAAACACACCCAAATGATGGCCCCTGATGGTCTTAGGTGCTGCCTGATTAAGCAATTGTTGAGAATATAGTAAAAATAATCAGGCTTAGTGGTACATGCCTATAATTCCAGTCTCTCAGGAATGTTAGGCAGGAGGATTGTAAACTCAAGCCCAGCCTCAGGAATTTAGCATGACCCTATGTCAAGCTAGGCACAGTGGCGTACGCCTATAATCCCAACTACTAAGGAGGCTGACAGGAGGACTTCAAATTTGAGGTCAGCCTCAGCAACATGGTGTGGCCCTAAGCAACTTAGCCCCATCTTAAAATAAAAAATAAAAAGGTCCGGAGATGCAACTCAATGCAAGAGAGCCCCTGGGTTCAATTCCCAGTATAAAAAATATATTAATACAAGCCAGGGTTGTGGCTCAGCAGTAAGAGCACTTGCCAAGCATGCGTGAGGCACTAGGTTCAATCCCAGCACCACATAAAAATAAACAAAATGAAGGTATTATGTCCATCTACAACAACAACAAMAAAATATTAAAATACATACATACATACACTAAATAAATAGATAGCTGGGCATGGTGGCACACACTTGTATTCCCAGCTGCCAGGGAGGCTGAGGCAGGATGATCATGAGTTCAAAACCAGCTTAGCAACTTAGTGAGCCCCTGAGCAACTAAGTGAAACCCTATCTCAAAATAAAAAGTAAAAATGGGGATGTGGCTCAGTGGTAAAGCACCCCTGTGCTCAGTTGCTGGCACCAAAAAAAAAAAAAAAAAAATTGATTAAATAATATATAAATTAAAAAAAAAAATTTTAAAAGGAGATGCAGCTCAGTGGTAGAGCACCCCTGTGTTCCATCCCCACTACCAAAAATTAAGTACATATATAAATAAAAAATAAATTTAAAAAGGCTAGAGATGCTTAGTGATACAGCACCCCCACAAGGTTCCATCCCCAACATCAGGAAAAAAAAACAGAACCTAGTCAAAACCTGGTGGGTGCTATTCATTGCTACCTACAGGGTTTTTCAAATGCTGGAATTATTTTTTGTCAAATAGYTGCCTCAAGATCATTTCACTTAGGTTGCTTTGCCTTTCTGAGAAATAAAGTGATAAAAATTTATGTCACACTTTAAAAGCCTAAAATTGGAATAATCCTTCAAAGTAAGGAACTTACTTCTTGAGGCTGATCAAATACACTCTGGAAATCTCCAAAGGAAGATGATGAGAATTCCCCGAAGATCTTCCTGAACAGCTCCTCAGGGTCAACGGAGGGACCTCCCCTCCAGTAGCTCTGCCCGGAGCTGCTGGCCCCAGCATCAAAGCCAGCAGAGCCATAGGCATCATACTGCTTCCGCTTCACCTCGTCACTCAACACCTACAAGGAGAGGCAGAGCAAGCATTATTTCTGGGTCTGTGGAGGCATGGGAACACAGATAAGAGCTCCACCAAGGAAAGTAGTCACAAGGCTAAAGGGCTCCATGTGCCAAAATATTCTATGAAGTTCTCTGGATGGGGGGACAGACTGCAACTTCAGCTCCTAGAAGAGGAGAGAGATGACTGCATGGGACTCTACATGTGAAGCCTGAAGTACTTTCAAGTGTCTTATGAAAAGCCCCAGGGGTGGCCACACTGTTAAAATGCCTGTATTCATCTTCACAGAACCTCTTAGGCATCCTGAAGCTTCAGATTAATACTGCACCTCTCTTCTCAGGAGACACCCTGGTAGAGACCTTAAGCTTCCTACCCTTTAACCTACAGGACAGAAACAGGAGGAAGAGCGACAGGAGCAGAGAGTGCATCATTTAAGCATGCCTTCTGAGGACTATTCTGACTGCTATATTAGCACAAAGCTCCTTGGAGGGAAGAGCCACTATGAAGGGGTGGGGAAAAAATGGAGTATTCACTTCCTCTTTCTCTCTCTCTTCTGGCTTCTGGACTGAGCAGCTACCAGCTTCCTTGGCTGAAGATAGCCACTGTGTAGTTATTCAGGCCCTGATCATGTAAGCCAGTCTAATAAATCCCCTCTTATAAACTTTACATACTCTATTGTTTCTGTTTCTCTGGGAAATCCTGACTAACACACATTAAATGTAGTTGCCAGGAAATAAGACACTGGCTCAGTGACTACTCACTGAGCTGAGGCTGCTTTTATATAAGGATGTCTACTTCTGTGGACATGTTCAGAACCCCTTTAGGATGGACAAAGTCTGGGGAGAAGAGACACTATCCAGTAGAATTCTACTTGGGTGATGCCTGCCTCACAGGTGTATGCTGTGCCCTCTGATTACATTTCTAGTTCTTGCATGGCAATAATGGTCTTCCACCAACCCTAAGAAGATGTCCTAAGTAGGAGAGTCATCAAACAAGGGCTGAATTAATCCAACTGGGAGGTCCCAAATTCAGCTGCAAATATAAATTGCCTGGGAAGCTTTATTAATTTGGATTATTGAACCCCATTCTTTGTTTTATCATTAATACACATTAATATACATGACAAAGTGATTTAGTGTAGGGACACAGCCTTCACACTGGACCATATGACACTACAGGCTGTCCTGTGTACCAAAGCAAACTCTGATTCACACAGCTGAACAACAGTGACCACATGCACATTTAGTCACATTACCTCATAGGCTTCTGCCAGCTGGGAGAATTTCTCCTTGGCTTTGGGATCATCTTTATTTGTGTCTGGGTGGTACTTTTTCGCAAGCTAAGGGAAAAAAAATGTAAATTAATACAAACATGAGATGGTTATTAAAACAGAACCCAAATATGAGACACAATTTTGTCTTCTTTATAACAGTTAACTCTAAAGATTTATCAAGTGCTGGCATGGTAGCACACGCCTGTAATCCCAGTGGCTCAGGAGGCACACTGGGGATGTAGCTCAGTGGTTAAGTGCCCCTACGTTTAATTCTTGTTACCAAAAAAAAAAAAAAAAAAAAATATATATATATATATATATATGTATCAACTAACAGCAATTTTTAAAACAAGATTTAAAACTTTAAAACATTTTTTCAATGCAATAAATGTACACATTTTCAACCACAACACATCTCTACCAAAAATAATAACTAGTTCTTTAGAACTTGGGCACCACTGTGAAAACAAAGTGCCAAAAAGTGTATTTATGATAGACATAGTGGTGCATGCCTGTAATCCCAGCTACTTGGAAAGCTGAGGCAGAAGGATCACAAGTTTAAGGCCATCCTGGACAACTTAGTGAGACCCTGACTCACAATAAAGCAAAAAAAGGGCTGGGGGTGTAGCTCAGTGGTAAAGTGCTTGCCTAACATGCATGAGGCCCTGGGTTTGGTCCTAGTACCACCAAAAAGAAAGAGAAAAGATGTTAATCCCACATTGAACTCCTAGCTTTTATTTTATTGATAAGACCAAACCAAGAGTCTGGAACTCAACAATAGAATTTCACATTTTCTGTGTTAAGAAAGGAAATAATTCTTAAAACCCATAAACTGTTTTATCTGAATGTGAAAAATGTTTACCTAAAACTTAGATAAGTATACCTGCTAATTCAGAAAGCTCAGAATAAATTGAATTAGAGAATTGGCCCTAAAAAATCTTTTTTATTTTAGGGCTGGGGTTGTACCTCAGTGGTAGAATGCTTGCCTACCATATGTGAGACACTGGATTCAGTTCTCAGCACCGCATATAAATAAATAAATTAAAGTCTATTAACAATTGAGAAAATATTTAAATTTTTTATTTTAATTTTTTACTGGTACAATTTAATCATATATATATATAGACACTCATTGTTACATGTTTATACATGCAAACGAGTTTTATATTTTAGAACTGGCAATTGAACCCAGAGCTTCAAGCATGCTAAGCACACTCTACCACTGAGCTACACTAATAGCCTCTGGAAAAGAACCTAATTTGGACTCTTTTTTCTAAAGCACTAATCACTACAGTACCATACACTGAAGAATGCATCCAGCAAAGTCCACTACATCACACCAACAGATTCACATAACCCATCCATATAGGCTAAACACTGTACCAGCTGGGATAACAGACTGACATACAGACCTGGTAATAAGCTTTCTTGATCTCTTTCTGACTGGCATTGCGGGGCACTCCTAGTATCTGGTAATAATCTTCTTTGGCCAAAGGGGTGTTTGTGTGGAAGTAGGCAGTACAAACAAAAGGGTAACTTTTTACTCCTGAAAAGGAAAAGAAAATCACTCTCRGAATGTGAGTCAGACAGCACACACCTGTGAAAGAACAAGACTGGAGATACCAGCTTGTCCCTATCCAAGCCCACTAGAGAAAAAGGCAGTATATTCAAAAGTGGACAAAGCCACTGGGTTAAAATAAATTCATACAATACCAGAGTACTGAGTGTGGGTGATTCTGATGAATTATACCATTGGTGTAATCTCATAACACCATTAGAGAAACACTAAAGATCCCAGATAAAGAGCTACCTCTGGGAGATGATTAAGAAGGGATTTAGAAAGCTGTGGATGTGGTTCAGTGGTAGAGCATTTGCTTATCATGCCTGAGGCCCTGGCTTCAATCACTAGAAGGGCATGGGGGCTGGGAGTAAATGGTAAGGACCTCATTCATGTAGACTATAGGACCACGATGTAACTAAACCAGAGACTCTGGGTTGTGGTGAGTGATGATATACAGTGGTGGTTAGGAGATAATTAATGAGGTCCAGGAATAAGCAGAGGGCCTTAAAGATACTCTAAGTCTGGATTTTATCCTGAGGGCAATAGGGAGTCACTGCAAGTATTAACAAGAAATTAGATTTTGAAGGAGATTTGGGAGACTACTTAAAATTAATAGGAGCCTAGAGAGGTAGCATACACCTGTAATCCTAGTGACACAGGTTGGGGCAGGAACAGCATACATTAGAGGTCACTCTGGCACTTTAGCAAGACCATGTCTCAAAATTCTTTTAAAAAGGGCTGAGGTTGTGGCTCAGTAGTAGAGTGCTTGCTTAGCATGTATGAGGCACTGGGGTTTAATTCTCAGCACCACATACAAATAAATAAATAAAGGTTCATCAACAACTAATAAAATATTTTTTTAAAAAGAAAGAAAAGAAAAAGACAGAATAATAAAGGCTAGGGATGTAGCTCAGTAGTAGAGTGCCCGGGGTTCAATCCCCAATACTACAAAAATAAATAAATAGATGGATAGATAGATAAATTAAAAATAAAATTAACAGGGGTATGGAGATGTAGTTCACTGGTAGAGCATTTGCCTAGCATCATGAGCAAGGCCTTGGGTTCAATTTCCAGTACTGTTTAAAAAAAAAAAGAAAGAAAGAAAAACGCAATCAGAAAAGTTGAGAATATCCAGGAAAGTGTCAGAAGGGATGATTAGACACAAGAATGAGCAGGAAGGGTCAGAATAAAATCAGAAACAGGAAGTAAAGCTGTTTTTGTTATACCCAATATTTCTAGAATGGGAAAAGCGGACAATAAAAGTAGTAGAGGTTAGGAGGCTGTTACTGTCTCTTCAGTCAGTCTTGAGGAGACATTGGAACTGGTTTCTCAGTGATCCTATAACCTCTTCCCTTTTCCTCAAGAGTAAGGGATTACCTTAACCATTTCCAGCTTCTCCTTCCAATGCCAAAGGCTGAGGCCAGAAGTGGCAAAGATTCTAAGCAGCTATGGATTCAATATCATCAGCAGAGTTAGAATGGGAGACATGCAAAACTGCATATGGATAAAGACAAATCACATTTCTCTATTACAAATTTGATAACACTGTTCAAAATGCATCAATGATCAGCAATAATTTAAAGAGTTTAAGCCGGGTGCAGTGGCACATGCCTGTAATCCCAGGGGCTCGGAAGGCTGAGGCAGGGGGGTTGGGATCGAGAGCGTCAGCAATGATGAGGCACTAAGCAACTCAGTGACACCCTGTCATAAATAAAATACAAAAAAAGGGCTGGGGATGTGACCCTGTGATCGAGTGCCTCCGAGTTAAATCCCTGGTACCCAAAACAAGAAAAAGAAAACAACAACAACAAAAAAATCCTGACATTATAAATGTTAGAAAACCCTAAAAATGACCATTTTGTTCATACTGAGAAAACAGCATGACATTTTTTCATATAATTCTCAAAAAACCTGAACAAACTACTGCTCCATCCAGGAATAAGACAGGAAGAGAATTTTAAAATGTCTTCACTGAATTAAACTCACTCCCAATCTCTTGTTCTCTGCTACATTCCCAGTGTTTGAAATGGTGGCTGACATAGGGTAGCCTCAACAAATATCTGCCTATGAATTAATTTTCAGAGTTAAGACAGGATCAAAGAGATTAAATAATACACCCAGGTCACACACTTTGTGGGAGGAAAGTCTGTTCAAAACCCATGCTTTTTTTTTTTTTTTTAATGCTGCACAACATAATCACAATTACTGATATTTTAATAACTACCTATTATGTAACTGGTACAAAATTGGCCCCCAATAGGAAATTATCTTATTAAATTTTCCAGTAAGAGCTTTTTTCCTCCTCCTTTTTCTGGGAACTGAACATCAAACCCAGGGGTATTTTAGCACTAAGCTACATGCCCAGCCCACTTTTTTTTAACTTTTTAATTTTAAGACAGYGTCTTGCTAAATTGCTCAGGATAGCCTCAAACTTGCAATTCTCCTGCCTCAGGATTCAGAGTTGCTGGGATTGTAGGCATGCACTAAATCCCAGTCAGCCAAGGTTCCTTAATCTTACTTATAAATTTATAGATAACTTACAATTCCCAAATTCTAGAGGACACAAAACAACTATCATAATTCAAGAATATAAAAGGTTGCTCAATGCTTCTCTCCTTCCCTTCCACTAAAACTGAAGTCATCCAATGCACAGCATAAGAAAACATCATGGCTAAGCACTTTGAGTCTTAATACACATTAATTTGATGTAATCTCTGGCAATTAAGAAGATGCTAGGTTTAAATCAAAGTCTAATGCTTTTTAGCGTTGTGACTTTCTACAAGTTGTTTACCATCTAAGCCTCAATTTTTCTATAAAATGGAATGGTAACAGTGCTTATCAATAAGGCAATATGATGGAAACACGGTAAAGTGCTCATATATGTCAGAATGTGTTATTACAATCACTGTCTAAAGAACTTCTTAAGAACATATTCTTAAAAAAGACTATTAACGTGTCCTTTAATTTACATCATGTGGTGGGAAGGGTATGAGCTATGGATATGACAACTTTGAGTTTGAGACAACTAACTTCACGATCTTGGTCGGGGTCAATTCCTGATAGTGCCTGTTTTTAAAATGGGGATGAAGATCTGCATATTGCAGGGCTGTTGAGTGACTAGCACTCATCGAATGGCAGTTGCCTCCTGCTTTCTCCTACAAGTAAAAGGTGCAGAGATACCGAAGGAATAGAGCAAGGGAGCCGCARAGTCGAGAAATGTTGACAGAGGTAAAGGTTCATGGCTTTCGGGGCGGTTCATCACCCCGAACTCCGTGCAGTTCTTCCCCCTAGACGGCTGTAGAGAGCCACCTGGGCCTCTCTACCTCCCACTTGCCTGTCTCCCCACTAATTCCGCACCCAAGTCGGAAGACACCTCCACCCTGCTCCCCTCACCCGGAGAGAGGCGAGTCACTCATTGCTAGTTCCTGGAGCCACAATTCGAGCGCAGGAGCCTGCCCTCACCTGTGAGGCTGACACCGGGTTTCAATGTCAGCAGCGCCCGGGGGCCGCGAGCGCCCAAGGAAGGCGCGAAGGCGAGGACGCTCAGCTTGCGACCCAGCGACGCCCCCACCACACCCTCCCGCAGCGGTCGGGCCCCTCTCCCAGCTGCAGCCAGCAGCCGCGGGTTCCCCACGGCTACCAGAAACCAGCGTGTGGAACACCGCGCCGCCATCTTGGCTCGGGGACACTGCGCCTGCGCCGGCCGGCTCAAGGAGGCCTCGCAGGACGGCGCTTCCGGGGACGGGGCCTCCACGCGCACGCAGGGACGCACGCGTTGCGCACGCGCAGCCTCCCTGGCTCGCCTTGCTGATAGCTCATGCCGGCTTGAGCTTTGCTTTGAAGATGCTGTCAGGCACACTTGCCCAGGAGAATCCAGTCATTTTGTGCTGGACGATCAAAGACTGCACTTTGCCTGTGAACAACGTGGCTGAGCGTAGCGATTGTAACTGGCCTGAGGATTCTGGCCAGGAGGGGAACTACAAGTCCCTGCAGGCTACGCGGCCTTAGGTCGCGCGGATCCCAGCATGCAGCGCGCGGCTGCCTTCGGCTGACCCTGAAGCTCGCGTCTCTGAGCGTGTGGGTCGCTCAGGCAGCCCCGCCTCCCAGAACCTGCGAGCTGGACTGCTCTTACTAAGCATAGTTGCCTTCTCCAAAAATGTGGCGAACTTGCTGATGATTCAGAATGATAGCCGAGCTCCCCCAAAATGAGTTTAATAAACCTTGTGAACACCCATTGTCTCGTGCATCCGCGGTTTTATGCACTTTGTAGAATACTGGGGATAGGGAGATGAATGTCACACCATCCCTGCCCTGGAAGAGCAAACCTCACTGGAGACAGTGGCACCCCCCTGTAATCTCAACGGCTCAGGAAGTTGAACCAGGAGGATCTCAAGTTCAAGGCCAGCCTCTGCAATTTATCCAGGCCCTGTCTCAAAAAATTAAAAGGACTGGGATGTGACTCAGCAGTTAAGCGCTCCTGGGTTCAATTCCCAGTTTAAATAAAAAAAAAAAGCGTGGGAGTCCTGAGGTTGGTAAAGTGGCTCCGTTAAATCCCCAGTCCCCTCTCCCAGAAAAAGAGAGAGACGCACGCTCCTTGATAAGTAATACAAGTAACAGTGTACTAAATGCTATTCTAGGTGTATACAGGTAAGGAGTCATTCTGGGGAAGTTGGATTCAACTGTCAAGGCCTTCTGAGAGGTAATGTTTGAATTGGACTTTGATAAAAAGTGCATCTGGTAGGGATAAAGTAATACAAGGGCAAGAATTTAAAAATCTAATGTCAGAGATGCAAAAGTGTTTGCTTAAACCCTAAAGTCAGGGTTTGCAAATAGACAGGAGGCTAGAAAGGTAGACCTGCCTGATAAGTTGCAAGAAAGTTTCAACTTGCATTCTTCCAAGACCATCACCTCACCAAGCAATAGGAAGGGAACCTAAGGGTTCATCGATGGGTTTAGGAAGATCACTGCTCCCCCTGCTCTCTACCCCCAGTATTGTATAGAATAGTTTTGTGTATGTGGATCTGTCTTTCTTTCTTTCTTCCCTCCTCCCTCCCTCTTCCTTCCTTTTTTCTTCTTTTTTTCCACCAAGGATTGAACCCAGGGAGAACCACATCTACCAGAGAGCCACATCCCCAGCCCATTTTTTATTTTGAGACAGGGTCCTTGAACTTGTGATCCTCCTGCCTCAGCCTCCAAAGTCGCTGGAATTACAGGTGTGCACCACCACACCTGGTTAGGCTTGATTCTTTTTTTTTTTTTAATATTTATTTTTTGGCAGACACAACATCTTTGTTTGTATGTGGTGCTGAGGATCCAACCGGGGCCGCACGTATGCCAGGCGAGCGCCTCTACCGCTTGAGCCACATCCCCAGCCCTAGGCTTGATTCTTAAGAAGAATCTGAGAAGAGTCTTGTCGGGGAGGGGTTGGAGGAAGAAGCAGAGATGGATAGATACTGGGGCTTGAAACCAGGGCCTCATATATGCTAGGCGATCACTCTACTACTGAGCTATACCCCCAGTCCTGGACATCCAAATGGAAGGCATTCGGGCTTTTTCTCTGCCTCTGGAGGAGTCTGGCCTATGGTTTTCTGTTTGTTTGTTTGTTTGGGGATACTGAAGATTGAACCCAGAGGTACTTAAACACTGAGCCACATCCCCAGACCTTTTTATATATTTTAATAGAGATAGGGTCTCGCTGAGTTGCTAAATGCCTTGCTAAGTTGCTGAGACTGGCTTTGAACTTGCAATCCTCCTGCCTCAGCCTCCTAAGCCACTCAGATTACAGGTGTGTACCACCGCACCTGGCTGACCTGTTTTTTGACTGTTGTTGGGGTACAGAACAGATACTTTTTATTTTTATTATTTATTTATTTTATTAATTAAATACTAAGAATTGGGAGAAAAAGAAAGAATTGAACCCAGGGGCACTTTACCACTGGACTATATCACTGCCCTTTTTATTTTTTATTTTGAGACAGGATATCACTGAGTTTCTCAGAGCATCAGTAATGTTGCCAAGTTTGGTCTTGAACTTGCAATCCTCCTGCCTCAGCTTTCCAAGTTGCTGGGATTACAGGTATATGCCATCACCCCTGAAAGAGCAGATATATTTTTTTAATTGTTGATAGATCTTTATTTATTTATTTATTTAAATATGGTGCTGAGAATCGAACCCAGTGCCTCACACATGCCAGGCAAGTGCTCTACCACGGAGCCCCAGTCCCAGCCCCAACAGATACTTTTTAAATAATTCCCCAACCAAGCTAATGAACCCAATTAATGAGCAGGTTTGGGGAGAATGATAAGTTATTATTTGGGCTTATAATGTTTGAGATGTTTGACTGTCCTATTTTAGGCAATATGTATATGATTATGGAGAAATCTGAAAGCTGTAATGTTCGAAGAATAACTTCTTTACAGTTCACAATTCTTCTTCTTCTTTTTTGGTACTGGGAATTGAACTCAAGGGCACTCAACCACAGAGCCACATCCCCAGCCCTATTTTGTATTTTATTTAGAGACAGGGTCTTCCTGAGTTGCTTAGCACCTTGTTGTTGA